ATAATTTTTTAGTATATTACTTGTGTGGTGTAGAAGAGAATTATTTATGTAGAGATACTGCTTGCAAACCAATGATGGTAAGATGATGTCATGGGGTAGGACTGGATAAGTCTAACTTCTTCCTACTCCATTCAAGCATGTTCTAGGTATAAGCAAACTGATATTGGATTAGCATTTGTTGGATATGTGTAAAATTATGTTTGTTGACATATCAACTGTCTTTACATGCTTGAAAGAATAAATCAAATCAAATCAAATCAAATATCAGAATAAGTGATCAACAATGCTATCACTGAGTTTGAGTTGTGTGGGGTGTTTTATACAGCCATTAACAAAGTGTGTTACCAGTACTCTGAAAGTGTTTTCATTTGATGTGGCTCAAATAGAACAGAGGAACCACATGAGAGCAACGTAACCAAATTTGGGTGTGCACCCCCCCAACATAAAAAGGGGAGTCTTTCAAGTAAACCGTGGAAAGAATTGTTTAATGTTGCAGGTCAGTTACTGGAGTCCAAACACACTGGCAGTAAATCTGGTATTTAGGATGTCTTATAACAGAGCCTGTGTCAAGCTAAAACATTTGATTCTTCTTGGATGTATGTTCATATCATGAATATGAATAGCAATTATTAGCATAATTTATGATTTGATTTCCTAATAAAGAATGTGTAGGTTGACAAAAAAAAAAACAATATGCCTGTTAGGATTGAATGTTAAACTCAATTTTTTTTCCAAAAAATTTTCTATTGACAGTTTCACATCCAACATATATGCCAACCTACACTCAGCGGCCACTTTATCAGGTACACCTGTAGAATTGTGATGTTATACTGGATAAAATTATATTCAGAGGTGTCTCTGGAGTCCAAACACACTGGCAGTAAATCTGGTATTTAGGATGTCCTCCCCAGCTACATACATGAGAGGGTCAGAATGTTAGGAACACCTCTAAATATAATGTAGTCCAGTACAACACCAGTTTTATCTATGACCTCAATAATAAACATACAGTATAATTGAATGTATACATTTATGACAATTTCACCAAAAACTGAAACACATTTAGCTTCATAAACACAGGTGTTAAGGCAAAAGTGTTGCAGTGAATTACAAACAACTGTACAGGTGCAAGAAATGGCCGCTGAGTTTATATATTCATCACATATTTCATACGACGGGCTTCATATTAAGACTGTGTGGAACTTAAATTAAACCCTTACTGCAGAATCCAGAAACACAATTAGATTTAGCAGTTGGAGTAAGTGACTGTACATAGCAAACATTAAATTAATTCATTAAATGGCTTAAACACAATTTTTTGCACAAATAACTTTTTCATTAAACAATAACTTTGGTTTTGATTTGGTAGCAAGCACAACATGTGTTTATAGGAGTATGTAGTAAATTACTGGCCTATTTGGGAAAAAATACAGTGCTTTTTTAGCATGCAAGTGCTGTTCCCTATTCATGTGTGTCAAATTACTATGTGTAAGTAAAAATGGGGAACAATTGCAGTGATAGACAGCATAGCAGTGAATGAGACTCATTTATTGCTATACAGGCAAATGGTACCTCATGCAAATCAAACACTATCAAGGAGGTGAAACCGAGAGAGAGACAAACACTGACATATGGGAAGTAAGATTCACAGTGCAGTGTTGTTGTACTCAAGCCCATGACTCAGACTCGACTTGGACTTGAGCACTGACTGCATTTGGACTCTTAAGTTGGAGAGAAGGACTCCTGCATTTATTTGTTTTTTTAATAAGTTATTGTTATTTAAACCTGTTCTGCAACACCATGCTGTATCTGGCACACTTCCATTGAAGCGTACACTCAAAAAAAATTCACAGTTCACTTCTAGGTAGTGTGTGAGCACACACTAATGAGCGTATTTGTTTGGCTACTGTATCACACACACAGTAAGTTGACTCAGAGCTGTGTGGATTGTGTTTAGTTAGACCTTGATGACTAACTCAGGTAACAGGGATTTGACTCTGACTCTCTCTCCTTGTCTATACCGCTTAGTCGCGGGGGGCTGGAGCAAATCCCAGCCGGTGTCGGGTGAAAGGCAGGGTACACCCTGGACAGGTCGCCGGTCTATCGCAGGGCCAACACGCAGACAAACAACCACACACACACGCACACACACACATTCACTCCTACGGGCAATGTAGAGACACCAATCAACCTAAGCCGCATGTCTTTGGAGAGTGGGAGGAAGCCGGAGTACCTGGAGAGAACCCACGCAAGCATGGGGAGAACATGAAAACTCTGCACAGAAAGGTCGCAAACCCAGAACCTTCTTACTGTGAGGCAACAGTGCTAACCATCGCACCACCATGCTGCCCTTCGACTCCGACTATTCTTTAATGACTGTAACTTGACTTGCACTCGAGCACTGGGGACTCAAGAACCGACACTGCCTCCCATATATCATTGTGGCTCCATCACATCATTGAGGGATTGGAATATAAGCATGTACACTTAGGTCTTGAGGCGTCACTGCTCTCTTTTCTTTTTCTGTTTGGTTTCAGCTTCTACCCTCTGTACTCAGGCTCCCTAGCCCCTTTGTTCTTTTCTTCTAGCCGTCTATAGCCTTGTGCCTCTCTTGCTCCTTCCATCTTGCTTGTCTCACTGCCATCCAACCAAAGAGTGCTTTTGACACTATGGCTGAGTGCAAGACCTGACTCTCAACTCTGCTCAGTCTGCTAAACTCTCATGCAAGCTACCATTCACCCATGATGATGTTGCCAAACATAGTGGCACTAACAGCTTATGACACACCATAAGATGAGACAAATATCTGTTTTCTGCTTTTCAGAAAGAAGCAATTTTCTCTAGATTAGGCATGCAAAATGATATTGTAATTAGGTAGAACTTTGATCTTCCAAAGACCCACCAACTGCTCTGTGAAGTCACTTCAGTTTAAACAGTTGTTTTGCAGAAGTGCATGGTGTAAGGAAAAAGGTGTTTGACTCACAGGTGAGAGTCACTGTGGTGAATAAAGCTTGCAAACATGGGCCAGATGGGGCTCATCAAAGAAGTGCCTGGCCTCTGCCCCTTTTCTGTCGACACATATCATCTCAAACCTTGCCAAGAGCAAAGGCTCAACCCTGACTGATCCCTCTGATTTTATCCTCCCCTCTCTCTGCATCTCTGAGACTTTCTTTCTGTTTCACTGTGCCTGACTGTCTTTTTCTCTCATTTACCATTTGGCAATCTTAACAGTCTGAGAGGCTGAGAACAGAACCAGTCATTTAGCTAAAGAGAAACAGCTTAGCATCAGTCTTATTAGTTGCAGTAAGTGATAATCATTTTTAATATTGAACAAAAGCAATCCTGAGAAGGTTGCCAGTGAAGACAAATCCACCGAGAATCAACAGCCTGCACCCCAGTACTGTTTCCAGCTTCTCTTGCTGAATACTGTTTGCCAGTCTAAACTCCAACAATTTCAGCTCATATAAAATTAATCTAAAATCAAGAAGATAAATCAGAATCAGAATCAGAATAAGGACTTGGACTCCGGTACGGCAGCTCTCAATGTGTTTGTACATATCAACAAGCAAAGGAATGTGCATTAGGAGACAAATTAATCAAGTGGCTAGTGAAGAACCATGTTATTGTGCAACTCAATAAATCAAGCATGTGCGTATTCAAATGAAAATGCCAAACACATTTGAATGGATTTTTTCTAGTGAATTTGCAAGTAATTATATCAGTGTCTTGGTTTTGCCTTTGTTTCTATGAAACACACGTTCTCCACCTGGCTAACATGGAACAAGCTGGCTGAGCTAACACACTAAAGCCAGATGTTACTGCAGGCTGGAATTAGTGTTAAATCACCTCATCATTGGTACAACAGACTACGTGCTCATTTTATATCACTTGAACAAAAGCTCTTGACTTGTATACTTTAATTGAGAACAACATGACAGGAGCAAACTATAGTAGAAAAGCTACAAGAAAATACAGTAAGATATTTTTTAAAAGTCAAACAACAGAGACTGTATGTGAACATGTGTACCATTGTCTAAATGGATGTGAGGTGGCAGAAATTAAAATACTAGTGGCAGACTGTTTCACCAACTAATATCATCTCTTGGAAAAATTTACATCAGTACTCACCAATGAGTTCCTTGTTCCTAATGTCCAGGGCCATATTTCTGAGAGCAGTGGCCACGGCACACACCACCTTGTCGTTATCTATCCTCAGTAACTCCACCAGGATGGGAAGGCCTTTCTCCTTACGGACAGCAGCTCGGATGTACACTGACCACTGACAGGAAGTAAGCAGGGGAAAGGTAGTTAAAGGCCAAAAACTGTCCACAGAAGGAGGGGTATATTTACAGTTAAGGCCCTACACTCAGGATTTGAAATTAAAGTAAGGCCAAACACAAATATAATTTAAACAAGCTAAAATTAAATCTATGAAATAATAGAAAAAAGGGATTCCCATGGTGCATTTGTGTTAGCAATGGTCTTAATAACAGGGATACTGTAGGTGTTTTGGGACAACACATAAATAAACTAACAAATAATTCCTAACTTCTGTGCTAACATTCTACAGCTTGAATGTAATCATAGGGATGCAAAGTATTTATTTAAGACAGCAATTTCATTTCTGCAAGACTATCCTCATCGCATGTTAGTAACACCATACTGTAGGTGGTTAAATCTGATTTTCAGTACATGCAGGCTCTTTCTTCTACTTTTTCAGTTGTCACTATGCTGACTCATTTCTTTTATCTAATTGGAGATCAACTGTGACTAAACCGACTGTGGTAAGTAAGAGACAGATGAATCATAATGACCAAGGTTGAATGGGAGATGTTTTATTCAGGGACAGTATGAGAGCTATTGAGGCATCGCACTAATTCCCAAAAGATACAGTGTAAAATGGAGAATTATACGAGTAGAAAGAAGAGTTTTGAGCTTGGAGACCATGCTATCTCCCTCACTACAGTACTTAAACGGACCACTTGACCGTAAACGGCTCAAGTACCACTGCCTTGTGGGTCAGCTGTTGCAGACAGGGGTGGTGCTGAACAACGCCCAAGAATGGAGTATAAAGCTGAAGGCTTTGGTAAAAAGGATAATTAAACTCTTCAGGCAGAGCTATGTTAAGGTTAAAGGTTATTGTTTTTTCTTGGAGGCCAAAACGGGCAAACTATTGTTCATATAATCATTTTAGGAAAGAATTCACCCTTGGAGAAAATGATCATATGTCTTAGACTGGAGCTTAGCAAGCAGAATGTATCAGTGGTATTACTAGACCCATGAGATAGAGCTTACTAAGAGGAGGCACAACTAAGGGAGCGCACACACACGTGAGGCCACACACTGTGGTCGAGAGGGATGTATTTCTCAATCCCTTTCCATATACAGTAAAACTTACATAGCATTTTCACATCATTTTGTAACTACATAAACATTTTTGTTAACATTCCCACATAGATTATTTCCAGAACAACCAGGAATCCGTGATGTTTTGGTGTTACGATTTTAAGTTATTTCCAAGGTTACACGCTCACATGTTCTACCTTTTATATACAGTACATCTCTTTCAAGGATAAAGCTGTCCTGACCACATACCACCATAGTTTTCAAACATCATTACCATCCAGCTGCTCCCATCAGTCGACTGCTGTTAAACCCTGGCTCAACTCCCTCATGTGTTCAGGCTTGGCGTCTTTACCTTATTACCGTAATTACATTGTTACTGAACTATAATGTGTACTATAGAACACTTAAAAATATGGCATTGTGCTCAAAATATTTCAAAGTCGGCAGAATAGTATAGTAAGCACATAGTGTAGAACATTATTCCAGCTGATGGATTCGTTGCAGATGGAGGAAGTAAAACATGAGCATTCTAAAAGTTCAGGCCAGGAGCTCAAGACTCCTTTCATCCTCCATCTCTTGCTCCCTGACCTGACTACAGCAGGCCTACTCATCTTACCACCATCCATCTGCACTCAGCAGCCCAGCTGACCTCCAGCGGACTGAACACATCTCCAGGCCAACCCCACTACTTCTCTCCTTCACTTTGCTAAACTCAGCACTTAATTAAGATTTGTGCTATCCAAACTCCCAAGTAAACGCCACAGTTAACCACTGCTCCCTAGTAATGGCCAGTTCTGCCATCCACACCCCATATCCATTCCAAGTTTTGTTATAGCCTTGGCTTGTTTGCATTCATATCCTCATATATACTCAATTTGATTAACTGTTTATAAGCAACTCTTTTTGGTAGGCCACCAGGAAGATTGCACACATGTTACTAAGACAGTGGACAAATGGTTAAATTAGTTCTATACATAATATTCCTATATGCATAACAGAGCTAATTTCCCTATATACTGTACACTGTATATATCTACAACAGATTGTGTGAGCTGTGTGAACTGGGAGAAATGGAGAATGAATTGCATTTCCCGGTACTGTTCCTGCTATAAGAATCTAAATAATAAATGAAATATACAGGCAATGATTACATTCTGGTGCATAGATGAAGTAAAGATGGAATGGATGTATACTGCTGGAGTTTTCAAACTGGAAAATCATTTGTCTAAATGTGTGGTCTTTTTTGTCTTTAGTCTTTTATAAATTGGAGGGCAGGATGTGGCTGTTTCTGTTGCACCAGTGTCTTGCATTAAAAGATGCATGACACAATAATAAAAATCTAACAATGTAAGAATGTGTCTAAATGCATATTTACCTTTGCAGCTTTCACTGTCTACCTGTCATTCTACTCAAGTACAATGACTACAAGAGCAGCAGGATACACTCTAATAATTATACTCCTGAAGTCCTATGATACTTGGGTATAACTTCAAGTTCAAACTGAAGAAATAAGAAGCTAAGTTGTTTGGGAAACATTTTAAATCTAGGCACCTTCCAGCTGCCTGCAGCCAGGTTCTGCAGAGCCCCCGCGGCTCCCTCCAGGGTGTCAGGATTTGAGCATTCAGACAGCAGGGTGAGGTAGGGCTTGACGATGGTGGGATGCCATAGCATCTGAACCCCTTTGGGGGGCTCCGTCGTATCCGGAAAGGGGCCCAACCCATCCCACTGTGAGAGAGAGGAAACAGATTGGGACAGATTTCTCTATGTTAACTTTCATTTATGAATAGATAGTTGAGCAAACACTGTAAATGCTTTTTGAGCAGTGGCATATTTTCCGTTTCATTAAAGTGTTGTACTTTGCCTAAGATATAACTTAACACAAGTATAAAAAGCAGTTTCATTTGCCACTGTGATCTCACAGGGTCCTGGAGTACACGTGTACATTACTGCAGCAAAGTGAAAATTTAAACCACTGGAGGTCAGCTAAAATAAGATGTTGAGGGAGCGTTCAGTTATTCTTAACACATCAGTGATTTCTGAAGGAGCAGATAACACTGTTCCTTCAGTTTCCCTGCTCTTTCCAATTTCTCTTGGCATTCGGTTCGAGTCTATACCTGCAATATTCATGAAAGAAAGATCTGTGGTTGAGTATACTGTACATTCTCATGTGTCTAAGTGCATGCATTATACTGGCATAATTGCATGCATGTCTGTAGTCAAATTACTTCTTCATCCTATACACCCTGACCTATTAAAATGTCAAAGAGACACCAAGTATATCACTCCCTTTCAATCTGCCACATAGAAGAAAATGGTGATGAAGGGGAGAGGTGTGAAAGGACAAAAGATATTAATAAAAAAGATGCAAGTGAAAAGAGTGACTATGAGAGAATGTTTGCCATAATAGAAAAGCTCCACACCCCTAGTCCCCCCTTTCCTCTCTTTCACTATAATGGAGTCCCTTGATGTTTGAACCTCTTTGTAAAGTGACATGCCTACACCTCTTTCACATGGCCTGGAACCCACAACTATTCTTCTTTCCTCTTTTATTTATATTTCTTTTCTTTCTTCTCTGCTGCTTGTCATTTATATCTTGTCCCACTTTAGTCTCCTGTTGATTCTTTTTCTTCCTCTCTCTTGAGTTATCACTCTTTCATTCTTGCCTCTGTCCCTATTTATCCTTCACTCCCTCTTTTGTTGTTCTATTTCCAGCTTTCTCTCTAAACGTCGCAGTTTTCGTCTTTCCAATCCACCTTCTTGGTTTCGCTCTATTGTTTCTCCTCTTCCTCACTTGTCTTAAGGTAAACTAGGCTAGTGTGTGTCTCGAGAGAAGCACTATATAGTGTGTGTACAGGTTATTATCTATACATAGATTCTCTGATTATAAAATCAAAGCCTTCTTATAGTTTGATGATACCAGAGGCATCAACTCTTTCTCAGTAGAGAAATTTCTTCTGCCTAGAGGCATCCTACATATTAAATATATCGCATAATGTTCACTGCATTTAAATTGTTTGCATCTAAAGTTTAGCATCTAAATTGTTCTAAAGATCAAATATATTGAACATCTTCAAATGTGTTTGCTTCATGGGAAACATTTCATATGCATCCCGAAAGTCTTATTTGAAACTTTCTAACAAATAATACTGCTTCATAAAGTAGCTGGACTCCATTACATTCTGAATATTTTATTAAGTTGGCAGCCTGCTTGGAGTTTGTCAGATGGCTTGAGATCACGAGGAAAACATTCTCTGGCCAACTTTATAGGCAGAACTGCAATAACTATGTTTGGTGAACACTAGGCACTGCTGATCACCTGCTAATACTATCCCTAAGGTGAAGTATGGTGGGGGCAGCACCGTGTTATGGGGCAGCTTCTCAGCAGCAGGGACATGAAGTCTTGTCAAAATTTATGGAAGGATGAATGCAACCAAATACAGAAACATTCTTGACGAAAATCTGCTACACAGAGCAGTGGCCTGAGACTGGGGCGAAGGTTCCCCTTTCAGCACAACAATGACCTGTAGCATACAGCCAAGACAACACTGGAGTGGCTTCAAGACAAATTGCAGATTGTCCTTGAATAGCCCAGCCAAAGCACAGACATAAACTCCATAAAACATCTAGAGAGACCTGAACATGGCAGTTCACAGATGCTTCCTGTCCAATCTGATGGAGCTTGAGAGGATCTGCCAGGAAAAATGGGATAAACTGCCCAAATCCACGTGTGAAAAGCTTGTAGACACTTACCCAAGAAGACTCAAACTTCTAATTAATGCTAAAGCAGCTTCTGCAAAGTCTTAAATTAAAGTGTGTAGATAGGACAAAAACAGTTTTTATTTGAAAAATCTTTAATACAATGAAGTTTACAAAAAGACATTTTACTGAAGCTACTGTACAGAATTCTTTCATACCCTGCATCCGCATAGTTAAGGATTGTAAAACCCTGACTTCATGAAAGAATGAACCGCCACCACAGTCTACCTCTACCTTTTGACAACCTAAAAAAGCATGAAAGAGAAGCATAGTGGACAGAGAGCAGAAAAAACTGAGAATGATGATGTATATGCACAAGTAAAAGAAAAATGTTAAAAATGGCAAAAGTGTTCATCCATCCAGTGAATCACTATCAAGTTCAGGCATCAGTGGCAAGAAGCACTAAAGAAGCCTTGAGGTGCCAACATGAAGCTTCATTCTGGTCTTTCAAAAAGATCTCCTGTCTGCTGTGTTCTTGCCTCATCATCGCCTTTCTTACCTGGTCTGCTCCCTTCTTTTTCTTCTTCTTCTTGCCCCAGCAGCCAGAGCTCTCACCATCGCGGCCGTTGGCATCACAAAGCAGGCCATCCAGCTCCTCCAACCCTCCCTGCTGCGTGTGAGATGTCTCAGCAGCCAAGCGGTATGACAGGTTTCTCAGGATGCAAACACAGTTCTCTACAGTCTGGAGACAGAGAGACAAGAGATGAAGTGAAGTAGGAGGAAGAGAAGGTGGAGCCAAGGAAGATGAGCTGAAAAAATGAGATATAAATGAATACAGTGAGAAAGCTGAGATTAGAGATTTGTGGTTCATGGCACTCAATAAAGCATCTCACTTTGAAAACACAGCACAAACTTCAAGTCAAAGCATGCTAATAAAAAACACCCACTCTCACACTTTTACAATAATGGCCTTCCATCCCCGCCCACAAGCCAGACAAGTTGGAGTGAGAGACAGAGACAGAGAGAAAAAACAAAAGAAAAAAGTTCATTTTATAGATAACACACGTCTCTGAAATGAGATCAGAAAAAAAACCTCAGATAAATGAGGAAAAATGACAAGCCTAATATATTGCCACACACCTCATTTAACACCCAGCTTAGAGGCAAACTCACCAGCAAGCAAACGTGTGTGTCTAAATGAGAGCAAACCAATTCTTACCGTGCACGTTGTCTATTGTTATATCTGAACTTTCACTAAGTGTGTGTACTTGCATGTTTGTGTAAGTTGTGCAGTCTTCTTACTGTCTGACCACTGGGTTACAAAAAACTAACAAAGTAGTGTAAATGAACAGCTTCAAGAGATGCAAGACACAACGTCTCACTCCACTGAGTTGCAGTCATTTCTGAAATTCTGTTCACATGCTCTTATCGAATGGTGTAGGTGAAGTTGTATTTTATTTACAGTTTACTGTGGCATTTTGCTTTTCAATTTATTATTTCACATTTATTTTAGTACGCATATCTTTCAGGCTACATGTTTTGGGGAATTAAAAGAAAATATCTTGGTTTATAAATCATTGCTTGCTATTGTTTGTGCCCAGGAGGTTAGGGGCCGTCACAAAACAGCAACCTTACATCTGTAAAAGTAAGACAAACAAATAAAAGATCACAGCCAATTCTAGTGTATTCCACATTGCACCGGCAATGCTTATCCATAGCATCTTATACATGCATTAAAGGACTTAATGTAAACTACTCCCTGTAATAGCAACAGCAATGAATCCAAGCTATTAAAGATCACTGTCATATAATCTATTAAATGTCAAACCTATACTGGTATTGTATATAAAATTATGTGTGGTCTATTAGGTCTTATTATTTTAAACTGCTGTATCTGTTAAGTTAATTGGCTCTTAACTGTGTGATATAACCTAGCAGGAAACCTAAGCAAATGTCTTTAAATACTCATATCAGTGCAGCTTTTTACAACACAGCACCAAACTGTAGATTGTGATCAATGGAATAGTTGGCCATAAAACTGATCTTGTGCATTTCTATGAGGCAGAAAGCTGAGATGATCAAAACACCTAAAGAATACAGAGAGTGATGTGAGGAGAAGTTATGTGAGAGCACTAATGGAGACAGAACTGATTGTGTTTATGGGCACATGAGGTGGTATAACTTGGACAACCTCAGCCTGTGCTTCTTTCTGGTGTCTTGCCTTGGGAGACTGATGCTAAATCTTTTTAAACATTAGGTCAGTCTGCCAGTTTAACAGCCAGCTGAGCAGAGGAGATAGTCTAGGCTAAGCAAGCGGGGAGAAAAACAGAAGAAGAGAAGGCATACAGAATCCAAAATGAGCACATGGCTAATGTGCATCGCTACCACAACAGTGACTACTTGCCTCCTCTGGTGACTGCACTGAGACTTGGTGGGGGGGTACTAAAGGGTGATTAAGGATGGGCATTTAGAAAGTGGGAGACAGGGAGACCTTGAGAAGTCAGCCATCCACAAAACTATTTATGTAGCATTGACTGTCCCACAAATACCATTATAACACACATACGCTCTACACCAACATGAACATGTCTTCATACAGAAAACCACAAAGTGAACATAAACCCACTCATCTTTGAGTCACGGCAGAGCTCAATTGGCAGTTAAAAGTGCTGTTACACATTGAATATCAGTTTTAATTTGCCCCAAACAAAACATGCTGATGGACTAAATGCTCCCTGAAATGTAAAATTCCTCTTCTGTGTGACTGTTGGCAGCGACACGAGGTTCAGTTGTTGTTTTATTGTCACCTCCTGTGCACCAAAAGATTTTGCCAGTTTGTTTCTTAACAAGACACAAAATGAGACACTTTCTCACTTGCAGCCTGGCGTCCTGATTTAGTTTGAAAATTCACATTTATGGTGGAACTGACCATCTTTCCCAGTGTAATTTTTATACAAGTGGATAGAGATGGAAAGACAAATAATAAAAGAATTACAGATTACATAAAAACATGCTAAAATACCCAGAGTTACACACACCTTGCTGTCGATCTCACTGCTGCCCAGAGAGGTCTGGATGACATAAAGCAGAGCGTCTGTCATGCCATCACACTCCCTCATCCTTCGTCGTGCCTCCTCGCCCGCAGAGCTTACATTCCTGCAACCCACAAATATACTAGTGAGTGTGTATTTGTGTGTGTGTGTGTATGTGTGCTTGCCAAATAGAAAGAGAAAACAAATGGGGAAGGAAAGAGGAAAGAAGATAAGACAGGAAGACAGATGAAAGAAAAAGGAGAGCTGGTAAGGAGAGAGGGAGAACCTGGCAGCTATCCCTCAACTAAACAATTGAAAAGGGAACATTAAAATTCTGGATACATTTCAATCTATGCCCTGAAGGCTCACTTCAATTTAAAGCACTTGACTTGAGTCCAGAAAAAAGAGAGAGGTAAAAAAAACAACAACACTTTAGTCCGACAGCCAACACTCACCAACGCTACTTTGATAATGTGATAATATTGTTCCGTTTATAAATAGCAGCTTTGCCAATGTGATACATGCAAATAATGAATAATTGCATCTTAATTAAACTGGATATAGGTGGGTGGTGTTGGGTTGGATTTGTTTGGGTTTCAACACAGAGCTGTCTGTGACACAGATACACTCAGTACCAGACACTGACTCATTTGCCTGTGTCAATAAAATAGATATGAGACTGAGGTGTGTAGCATGGACTAGACTGAATGTTGTGTTTCCTTTATACATCCACGTTACGCGAACTCAGTGTATACTAAGGACAGCATACGACAAAAACCATGCAAGCACCCAACAATTTCACTCTAACATATACATAAATATATGAACGTGCATAATTAATTACTTTATATGCACCCAAATGCTTTGAGACATAACGTTTACAAATACCTTATACTGTATACAAGATATCATTTTGACTTGTGCAGTATACTGTGCATTGCATTTCCATGGTGCTATAAAGACAAAACACAGGCAGTCTCACAGCCAGCTTTTTTTCCTGGAAGTTCTGGAAGCTAATTTTCCAAAGACAGCTTTGTAAATTCCCCGAGTCAATTTGCTGCTCAAACATACTGTAGCATTCATCAAAATACAAAAACAAGAAATGTTTCTGTGTATAATGGA